CATCCCCCGTTCTGCAATCCAGGCCGCGACACAAAAAGAAAGAGGAAAGTGCTTTTCTCAGGTTGTCTGTCACCTGCTAACAGCCTATGGTGCCTTTCACTGCCCAGAAAAACTCTTAATTTTGATTTGGCCAAATCCACCAATGTTTTGTCCTAGGATTTATGCACTTGGGGTCTTAAAAGAAGGCCTTCCTCCCCAAGGTGACAGACAAACCGCCAGATGATCTCCTGCTGGCCTCAAGGCCACGCCCTCCACACCCACACGTGGGCCCTGCCCGGGCCCTGCTCTCAGCAGCCGCCCTCCCACGCCGCAGCCGCCCCGGCACGAGTCCGCGCACACTCGTGTTTCCTCCAACCCACTCCTACTCTGCTCCGTGGTTCCGAAAACTCAGGTCTACGCTAACACACAAGAAACCATAAACATGGAAGACAACTGAGTTAATATAAAGCAAAATAGTTAAAATACACCTAATTTTTCTATAAGCCATTTTCTAAAAATGTCTAACCAACCAAAGCCACCAAAATCATCAAAATGTTCCTTTTCAAACATGCTGGAATAAAATAATTCCTGACATATTAAAGCCATTATTGGTTTTTACAGGGCCGAAGTCTTGGGTTCCTTCAAATAATGAGATAAAGAATGAAAGCATCTGTGTGAGATAACACCCTCTAAGTACCAACTGCATATACGATACTTGCGAATCACCCGAGAAGGCAGCATGGACTCGCCCTTTACAGCTAGAGAGGCTGGACCTGGAAGGGAGACCGTCCTGCAGCCGCCCCTGCAGCGGCCACACCTGGGCCATGGGACGAAGACAGAGGATTTGGGGGATGCGGGCCATGGCCCAGGCGCTGCATCCTGGACCAGCATTCACCGTTTTCAGTTACACGGGCTCTATGGTCTTGTAAATTTTAGTTAAAAAAGATTATGTTCTTCTGAAAGTCCTTGCAAAAAAAAGGAAAGTAGTATGAAGATCCTAGGTTTTAGTGAAGGTAAAAAGATCTAATTGTACAAGGGCAAAAATAATTTGTACTAAGAATTTCTTCTTAGAGTATATAGAAGGGCATGTGAGCTAAACACAATATACATTATTTATGGCATTTGCATAATTCAACAAAATGTGAAACGCTAAATATTTAATCCAAATATATTTCTTATTTTCAGGATTTGCTAGACCATTATTCATTTTCTCACCTCTTTCTAGATAGAATCTTATCAGTTACAACCATGATTTTAGAGCTGGAATAAACCTTATAAGCCAAATTCCTCCTTTCCACAAACGAAGGTTTGCAGCCTGGAGAGGTCAGGGCTGGCTCGAGGTCCTTGTGGACGACATTCACATCCACCCTTCACCTCTGACCTAAAGAGTTGGAGAAACAAGACGGAGCCTTCATTTTCTGGAAATCAATCAAAATATTTCTTCACACAATGTACTCTTAGCGGTCACTCCTACTCAGCAACAGAATTCACAATTTTAGATGTACTTTTTAAAAATACTTGAGTCTGCTGATGTACGTTAGCCTCTAAGCAGAAACGGTTGTTGGGAGTGATAGCACACTGGACACCAGAGGGTAAACCCCCTCCGCTGTGACCTGACATACCTCTTAGCCACAACTCGGACTGCACTGTCAGGAGATTCTACCCTGCGAACAAACCATGCGAGGTAGTATGTTACCATACTGATGAACTGTTTTCTTCCCATTGCTGTCAGAATGATTAGATTTATGGAAAACTACGACAAAAAAACAAAGAAACCTATTTCCATTTTTTTTCCTGGAAAACCAATGAAGTAAGCAATTTAAGAAAAGATGCTCGAAAATGCGAATGGGCCTGACTATTCCAGTGCAGTGTGATCCTTCCTCATTTTTTAAATGTGCGGGGGTCACCCTGCGTGTCACCACAAGACATGCAAACAATCTGAAGGTTTTACTTAAAGCAGAAAGGCAGCTTTGGGTGACACGAGCTTTATAAAATAAGACATCCATAAAGCATGTTTCTATTTTTAATTTTTTTGCTTTGATAAATCAATTGCTTCACAAAAATCCTTTTTAAAGACAACAATCCAAGAAAACATATTGTTACAGTATTCACATTTTAAAGATTGTCAGTTTCAAAGACCAAAAATAACTAGAACAAAGGAAGATTGCTAAGTTATTTCTGTCACTAACTGCCAGAGATGGGCCTTCACGACGGGGTAGACGGCTGCTGGGTGCGCTGCGTTTGTCTGAAAGAAGAAAGTGCTCCCTCGCTTCCTCGCACAGGTAGGAAATGATGTTCAACAGGTCACACGGAGAGGATTCCCGGAATCCTTTCTTGTCAGGGTTTTCTCTGCACACTGGATAAAGACTTCGACTCACTTTACTATCCAGAACTGAAACATGGAAAACGGCTAGTCCGTCATGCAGAGCCTGCTGGGGCACGGCTCTACCGGCCTAGCTATCTGCTCCACAGCTGGACAGGAGCAATGACAGCAACATGCTTAATTTGGGTCTCAAAACACATTCAAAAGGATCCTTCGTAAGGAAGAATTTAACAAGAACAAAGTGGGGACAGAATCCGATAATTTAAAATGAAATCTTACAGGGGACCCCCTTTCACAGATTCTCTCCGCTGTCCGAAGGCGCCTGTAAGGTGCAAACTGACACAGACACGCTGGGCAGTTGTTTCGTAAACCGAAATGGCTTGCCGTGTAAAAGTTATTTAAAAGCATCTTAATTATTCCTGGAGAGAGGTTAAAGGGTGCATAAGCGCCCTCTTTCCAAATCTATCCTATTCTTCTGAATTTAGTAAGAATGAACTTAGGGCTTAAGAAATGGGTTTCAGCTGGAGAGAATCACACCACGCCATTCAGCATGGATGTTCGACTCTCTGGCCAGAGCACCCCAACACCACCCAGGTCTCCAGACAGACGGCGTCTCACCATGTCGCCCAGGCTGGAGTGCAGCGGCAGCTCACAGGTGCAATCGCAGCTCACTGCAGCCTCGAACTCCTGGGCTCAAGCGATCTTCCCACCTTAGCCTACCAAGTCGCCGGGACTACAGGGGGCAGCACTCCTGAATACCATCTGCTGCTCCGGCAAACATGATTTCTCATGGGGGAAGAAACAGTGAGCGATCCACAAGTTCTGTGAATGTCTCCACTAATCTACACCACAGAGCAGCAGCCAAAGAGATGGGGTGAGGGAGGAGGGAGGAAGGAGGAAGGCTGGCTGGCTTTCCCATGTGCTCATTTTAAGTCTAACAAAGCTGGGACTTCAGTAGAGTTAAAATGATGGTTTAGACTTGTGTAGACCTGACTTAAAATATTACAAACTGTTTATAAATAAGGAATGCAAAATGTTATTCTCTCCCCAAAAGAGTTAATAATCAAGTTTTTCTTTAAGTTATAGCTCCTGAAATATTTTTAAAGAAATTTCTATGTATTTCTTGCTCACTTCAGAGTTACCTAGGAAGTATTCCCTTATGATTAATTAACATATTTTTGGGGAAAAATCAGTTACAGAAAAGAATTTGCACTGGCTGAAAATGTCTCTCAACACAACCTTGGTTTATAACCAATCACTATTGTTGAATCTCAGAACTGATGACTTTCCCAACCCTGTAACTGTCCTTTACAAACAAAGGGGACCTCAGCATCCCATCTGAGATGATATGAAGGGATTCTGTTTGAAACAAGGTGCTGCTTTGTGCCTAGAAATCCCCACTCCTAAGTAAGCAAATCAAAACCACAGAAAACAAAACCCAGCCTACTCTCTCAATTCGTCTTGTTACCAGAAAACAGAAGTCCTAAAAATCATTCCAAGTCTTGTACCAGGAACTGGAAGTGAAAAAATTATTCCAAATCTCATGCGATCAGTGAGAAGGGAAGGCTCTGGAAATTCTGAAACAACGTACAAGAAAATAATGACGCCAGGAGAGCAGCTGCACATGTGTGAACTGACCAGCCGGGAGTCCGCCGTCACGCCTCCGCCGCAGCTCACCGCCACAACTTCACGCGTGAGCGTGTCTGCTAACTATGGAACGAAGTTCGAATGTTTGCTATTTACCCCAGCTCTGAGCCAATGGGGTAGAGCACGTTTTATATTAGTTTATGATAAACATTCTATGCATATCTCCAATAAAAAAATCCTAAAACAGTACACAGCTACCATGGTAAAACAATCATGTAACTGTAGTCAAGTTTAGATTAGACTGGAATATGTATGGGGAGCGCTCTGAACTAATTACCGGCTACCATTCCATCTCACTTACCTGAAGACCTAGTTAGCAATTACTTTTAGATATATGTTTAGATCAAGTGTAAAATGCAATCTGAGTGTTACATATAAAGAAAGGTTTGAAGATATCAAAATTTGATTCACTCGTTTTTTGTTTTATGGTAGCAAATGTAAATCAGTACCCTGCGAGAGCAGAGGACCATGGAATGGTGGCTGACTTTGGGCAGGTTCATTAAATTTGGTCAATTCAGAACATTCCAAATTGAAATAGCAAGCATGTATTGTTTCTTCTCTAGAAATTTTATCCTCAATATAGTCATAATCCAATTCATAATGAATTTATAAAAATAGCTTTTTATCCAATAATTCCAGCAAGGTAAAAATAGGAGTTTCTTTTTATATATAGCAAATGAAACAGGCTCACTGAGCATGAGAGAACTGGACTGGTTTAAACCGCCATCACTCACTACAAAATCACACTCAGTCTACGCGGGGAGTCGTTGCCACCTCACACTGGCAGTTTCAGGTGCAGAAGCTTCTTTCAAATCCACGGGCTACACAAATAACCAGCCCACTGAGATCTGCTGTGAACCACAGAACTAAATTAAAACTGCGTAATTTTTTAGAAAATGGCAGCACTATTCCTTACTCTAATCCTGGGAGGGGTATGTCATTCGTCACATTTCTAGAGTTAAACCTTCAGAGAATTTCTTTAAAAACCAACCCACACACACACACACACACACACACACACACGCGCACACACACACTTGAAAGAAGTCGCTGCACCTGCAAAGACGCGCTGTAAGCTTACTATGAAATACAAAAGTGCACTCTTCTATATCTACATATAAAACATATTAGAAATAAAACTGTGTAAAATGTTTGCTGTGCAAACTATAAAAAGTCAGGTGAGTCCGCGCCGCTGTCCTACTGCAGGGAGTCGCTGTTCTCCAGGACGAGCCCGCTGATGTGGGCGGGGGCCAGCGCAGCCCCGTCGTCTTCCGTGCTGTCCACAGACTCGTCCTCGCTCTGCCCCGCCATCATGACCTGCTGCACCGCCAGGGTGGCCCCGTCCGAGGACAGAGACTGGAGGCTGTCCACGTTCATGTTCACGGGTGTGGTAATGGTTACAACAGCTCCTGCGATGGGACACAAGTTTGTCACTATTTAAATAAGCACTTACAGAGAAAAACATCAGTACTTTATTACTCGATGGAGCACCGTTTGCTTGTGTGACGTAAAATGGAAACACCTCTATATGTTTATGGAACATTCGATAAGGATTTAAGAAAGCGTTCCTGGAATTGGCCCTCAGACCATGCTCAGCTAATACGGTCTTGGCCTAAGGATGGCGTCAGTGGAGCTCGGGACTGTACAGAACGCAGGTCACGAGGCAGAGAGGGCTGCAGGGAGAAGAAAAGAAGCCCAATCACAGGAGAAGGAAGCACAAGAGGAATATAAACGGGGAAACAAAAAGGGTAATAAAGTAGAGTAAGATCAGTTTGAAAGAAAAAAGAAAAAAAAAGCAAACCCTGTAACATGCTGATCCCTGTCGTACAGCCCAGTAGCAAAGGATGGAAACGGCCCAAACAGCGACCAGCGGGGCCCAGCTTAGAGACCCGGAACCAGGTGCTGTGCTGCTGTTAACAACACAGTGGGCCGACAGGCCGGTTCGTACAGACCTCCAAGACCCATCAGTGAGCGACGGAAGCAGGCGGAGGCAGCGTGACTGCCAGCATTTGTCTGAGGGTTTGGGGGCACAGTCACTCATCCCCATCGTCGACGCACTGGAGCACGTGCAGGGAGCTGGTGACAGTGTTGCTCTGGAGACGATCAGACGCCAGGAGAAAGAGAGAGAGTGATACCTTTCTGACTAGTTCTTGGATTAACAGAGAAAAAGACGTGAATATAAATTCTTTAAATATGACATGAGACTACTACCTACCAAAACCTAAATGAAGAAAGCAAAGCAGCGCTTGGGAAAACTTCGCTTTAAATGCGTACGACACAACTCGAGAGGTCAAATGGAAACGACGTAGGTGCGATCACAACCCCACCCAGCCGCAGGACCAGCACCCCCATAGCAAGTCTCCCGCGCATTCAGCAGAGAACCGTCAGCACAGCTGTGCAAGGAGACCACCTGAGGCTGGGGAGGAACTGTCTGGAAAGATGACGAGCAGGGTGTGCAGTGCTCACAGAGCCAGCCTGGGAAGCTCATCATCCCAGGCTCAAGAACCCAAGAAGGCCTGGCCTCGCGTGTGGGCCGCCAAACACTGCTCCCGAGTGACCTAACTGTACCCCAGAGCAAAGCTCAGGAAGACTCACAGGAACACAAACACAGCCCGCACCCGGCAAGGCACATTCACAGTGACTAGCGTCCGCTCGGGTTTACAGGACAAACAGGCAGGAAAACGCACAAGGAGGAGAAAATCGGCCAGCTGGAAGCTGGTCCGGGACTGACAGAGATGCTGGAATTAGCAGAGAAGGACATCGACACAGTTACTGAACTCTACTCTATTTTCAAAACCTAAGTAGATTCATGAACGATATAAAAGACTCAAATAGAGCCTCTGGAGAGAGGAAAATGACAATGTCTAAGATGAAAAACACACTGGATAGGATTAACTCAAGATTAAACAGTACAGAATAAAAGATGAGTGAAGCAGAATGGAGAGTAACAGAAACCATCCACAATGAAACACAAAGAATCTAATAAACTGAAAAGAGCATGAGTAACGTGAAACTTTAACCACCTACTACATAGGCAGCTCAAGTTCCTGAAAGAAGCGGGGTCGGAAAGCACAGTTGATAAAACCACGGCCCCAAACTCCCCTAACTCAATAACGGTACATTACTGCATGAAGAAAAGTAGGAAGCAGAATGAGATGACACCACCATTTACAACACTTAAAAACAATCCAAAACGTGAAGAACTCCTACAGACGGGTACTCGTGAAACGCATCAGACTGGCTTCCTACTCGGGGAGGAGGGACAGGGGTCCCAGGGAGTAAACAGCAGCAAGAGAAGGGCAGGGACTAAGAAGGGTAAGAAGTCACGTGGGAAGGACGGGGCCACCTCCCAGCCCCTGCACCCAGAGTCGGAGGAAACCAAAAAGCAAAACATAGCAGCAAAGGGCAGGACATGCTGTCGGGGACTGTCTTTGACACGGAATGAAAGATCTCAGCTCTGTGCCATGTTGCAAATGCTCTCCTTCTGGCGGGTGCTCCTCACTCCTACCCGGAGCTCCCTCTAACGCGCCTCCGGCGTGACGTTCCTCGTTGCAGATGCAGAGAGAGAAGCGAGTGTTTCGGTTCACGGCATTTTCTAAAGCCCACAGCTGACAACGCCCAACCCCGGCTCCTGCATCTCCACCCCGCCGCCCGTACCTTCCGTCATGGCGAGCTCGCTCGGCGGGGGCTGCGTGACTCCCGACGCGATGGAGTCGGGCCAGAACCTCTGAACTGGCCTGTTCTGAGCCGTTTTTTTCTTGGTTTTGGGGGTCTCTGAACAACTGGAATCCAACATGGGCTGGAGAATCCGTCTCCTGGCGTTGATGAACCTGCGAGCAGACAGGGAGCCGCAGTCAGGACGGCCTCGTGAGGACCCGGCGCAGCAGCGACGCTCTCACGAACACGTGTCGCACGTTTTCTCTTATACTCAGTACTTAAGAGGAATCAAAGTTATTCTCAATTATCTAAATTATTACCTAGAAGTCCAGAAAAACAGGGCCTGCTATTTTAAAAATCATTCACTTAAATAAGGACCAACGCTGCGTCTCAGGAAACGAGCGTGACTGCCAACTCTAGCCTCGGGTCACCACAAAACAGGGATCTGAGGCAAGAGCCTCACCTTTCCAAAGACTATTCCAAACCACGAGCCGTTTCCCAGATGCCCAAGGCCGTGGTCTTTCAATGGTCCCACGCACACGGCTAGCAGTGCCAGCGTCCTGGCAGTGATGAAATCCGCGATGGACTTCAGCTGCGCTGTGATACCAAGAACTCACACTGGCGATACGACCCCACGAAGAAAGAGACCAGCACAAATTACAGGTTGGCAAGGCAGGCCAGACATGGTTTCATGTCCAACGAATAAGGCAGCAATCTTAAAAAAATTACAAGATTGTTTTCTTCAATCTCCATCCCTCTGAGTGCCCCCAGCTGTCGCCTTTAAATGTGAGAAAGTGCGGGGAGGGTGCTGGTGCGAGGGGGAGACTTAAATCCCCAAACCGCTCTTCCTCCTGCAGTCAGGGGCGTGTGCGGCAGGCACGACCTGGCCTCGCACTCCTGCCGCGCTGCCGTGCGCCTCTCCTCGGGCCGCTTTGCTACAGAGCGAACAGCACCGGAAGGAAAAACAACATCAAACCAGAACCTGTCCAGAGTCCTGCAGAGCCCTACCCTAGCATAAAAACAGCCATCCTGACCAAGCTTAAGGACCCATCTCTGTCTTCTTTGTTCAGTAGAGTGAGTGACAAGGTAGTTCCCTCTCGCGAGAGTCACACACGCTACTCTGTCAAAAGCTACACCTCTGTGGATAGCTGCGTAGTCCCGTTCATGGTACCACAGAAACAAAAGCGTTGCTTTTAGACTCGGACTCCAGTCGGCTTTGTCACTGTGTGACCACTTCTCTTTTAATGCCCCCACCTACAAAACAACAGAGCTAGAACTGGACCCGCTCTAAGGTTGCTTAATTTTAAAATTATAAAGATTAAAAAATATCTAAAATTACACAAGGACGCATTCTAGTTACTAACAAATGACAGTGACTTGCTGGCCCGCAGTACGAGCGTGAGGAGGAAAGCAGACCCGGGAGTAAAAGACGCCAGCCCCCGCCTCGGAGGACAGCCCGCTGCCGCCGCTCCACGCTTGCTGCTTTAACTCTCTCACTCAAAGTTGCTGCTCGGCAGAGGCACAAGCTAACGATAGATGTGTTCAATCTCACTACTCTAAGATGTAATTGTAAATATAAAAGGAAAGAAAGTCACAAGAAGTAAAAGCAGCTATAGATACTAAAAGATTTTAGAAATCTGGAATTTAAAAAGTAATGTTATTAAACTGTTATTAATTTTAAAAATTAAAAGTTGATACTAAACCTGGTTAAGAACTCTGTTAATGCAACAGAGCAGCACGTTAGGGAACACAAGGAAATCATGAATGAAGAACAAAAGGTGACTACAACACCTGGATATCCACAGAGGCACCTCTGTGGCCAACATCTACCCCATTCGACCCAATGATCACTATTATGACTCAACCAAAATGTGGCGTTTCAACATAAGACTACATGGAAAGAACCCTACACATGCTCAGTATGCTACAAACTTCACAGCAACTATATACTTGAACCTTTAAATTCTTGTTAACACTATTAAAAAGACTGAATAGGTAATAACTCAAATAGTATGGTCTGTTATTGCTACCCAAATCTAAAATAACAGCCTGAATGCAAGATAATAAAAACATTGAATGCAATACCAAAATATGCCTCCTGCATATATAATTGCACAAGGAAGATTTTATTGTTTATATTGGAACTTCAACAAGTTTACATTTTAGCCTAGCTAAAATAAAAAGATAATGTCTACAAGTGGCAGAATTTGTGCTTTTTTTTATGCATGCCAATGTTATTAAGCTGAAATTGCGTCCTATATCTGAACAATAAGTAAATCAAAGTGAGATGACTAATGACCACAATGGAGCCCACCGTAAACCCCAGCACCACTTAGCAATGGGCATTAAGTAATTATGTAAGGAAAACACAGGGCCAGGGTCCAAGTGTCACAGCAAGGTGTGGCAGCAGAACTGCAAGAGGAGGCTTTTATCAATAAACGCAAGTGTCCGCCTGGGTGCTTCTCTGCCAGCAACCCTCCCAGGCGCCCCGTGGCACAGGTTTCAAAGGCAGGAGAGCAGCAGCGCTCAGGACTCCTTGCTCTCAGCTGCCCCCCGACACAGCACAGGCTTGAATCAACGTGGGGCCCGGGCAGTAACACCACAAGGAGACATTTCAGTCAGCCAAGCAGGACACAGGAAGGAGTCCATAATCAGGTCGTGATAATTAAAACTCAGGTTGAGGGTGGGCGCAGTGGCTCACGCCTGTAATCCTAGCACTCTGGGAAGCTGAGACGGGAGGATCATTTGAGCTCAGGAGTTCAAGACCAGTGTGAGCAAGAGCGAGACCTCATCTCTACTATAAATAGAAAGAAATTAGCCAAACAACTAAAAATAGAAAAAATTAGCCAGGCACTGTGGTGCGTGCCTGTAGTCCCAGCTACTTGGGAGGCTGAGGCAGAAGGATCACCTGAGCCCAGGAGTTTGAGGTTGCTGTGATTTAGGCTGACGTCACAGCACTCTGGCCCAGGCAACAGAGTCTCAAAAAAAAAAAAAAAAAAAACCCAGGTTGAAAGTGGGCGCTGGTTTGTTCTTAAGCACCCTGCCTCGTGTTCCAGCACTCTGCCAACAGAGCACTGCCTGCTGAAAGAACTCACATTCTCAACACCACTGCACCACGTGTCAGTACCGGGGTTCCCAGTGCCCCACTGTGCAACAGGCCAGTCTCGGAAAGCAGTGCGCCTTACCAGTTGTTGACCTGGAGCAGGGTCAAATTTGTTTGAGCAGCAATCTGTTTCTTCTCATCCTCTGTTGGGTAGGGATGCTGAAAACAAAAAGGAGAGTTACCACAACCTTTGATTTTTATAAAGGAAATCAAGATTATCCAGGCAAAATATAAGAATCAAATAATCATCACTAAAAACCTGTGAGAGCGATAGGCTTCTAGCCAAAACCTACCTCTAGTCCTACAGAAGTAGCCACCAAAGAACGTCCTGGTGCTGCAGCAGCTGGTCAGTGCACAAGCCAAGGCGTGACTGGCCACAGCATCTGAGGTTCAAGGATGACAATAACCACAGCCACAGACAGCACCAGGAGCAGCCGCCCAGCGATGATGGCTTCTCTGTGCCAGGCGCCATTCTGAGCACTTCATACAATCTGCAGATTTCGTATCGAGCGTCCTGAGGCTCAATTTGTGAACCACAAACTGCATCCATTTAGAGTAGGTGCCTGGATGAGTTCTGGCCGAGCAACACACAGCACATCTCCATTCCCCAGGTGCATTCTGCAGTAACTCACGGATTCCCCACGAGCACCTCCTGAGACGGTGACTGCCATTACTACAGATGAGGAGACTGAGGCACTTCCCTCCACCCCACACTTGAGGAAGCAGGTGGAGGCAGGAATGGCCAGGCATGCTAGGGGGATCGCTACCCCGAGAATAAACAGACAGGGATGCCATCAGGGCTCTCCTGGGGCCAGATCTCTGCTGGATTAACCTGTGCTGTCCGCAAAGCACTGAAGCCAGGGCTGGGGAAGGGAGTGTCTGTTGTATTACCCTTCTTTTACGTGTGATTCAAACATTTCACTTAAAACAGCAAAATTCAACCACAATTATAAGTAGCAAAATTCACAGACGTACCAAAGGAAAATGATTTCTATCTACAGTAATAAACCATTTCTCCAAGATTGATTACTGTCTACATGTGGAAAACAAGAAGACGTTTACTCTAAAACCTGAACACACCGCAAGTGCCTGATTTTGGACCAACCAGAACCCAAGACAGTGAATGCACCGACACAGCAAGAAGGTGGGAGTTCGCCTTGGTTTGACTCTAGACGAACACCCAGGATGATGTGGAGCCATCCACTGCACGTGGCAGTGGGGAGGGAACAGCACTGGACTGGTCTCAGCTGCGACCTGCCTGTCTCCTCAGACCAGTTTACAGTGCGATTAGGTTTGTGTCTGTAGATGAGTGTGTGGCTCTGAGCTCGAAGTTATGGAAATATAAATATTGTTCTCGCCCTTTAAAAAGCTCATAAGGCCAGGCGTGGTGGCTCACGCCTGTAATCCTAACTCTCTGGGAGGCTGAGGTGGGTGGATTGTTTGAGCTCAGGAGTTCGAAACCAGCCTGAGCAAGAGCGAGACCCCATCTCTACTAAAATTAGAAAGAAATTAATTGGACAACTAAAAAAATATAGAAAAAATTAGCCGGGCATGGTGGTGCATGCCTGTAGTCCCAGCTATTCGGGAGGCTGAGACAGAAGGATCGCTTGAGCCCAGGAGTTTGAGGTTGCTGTGAGCTAGGCGGACGCCACGGCACTCTAGCCCGGGCAGCACAGTGAGACTCTGTCTCAAAAAAAATAAATAAATAAATAAAAATAAAAAATAAAAAGCTCATAAAATAGAAACAGGGCAGCAAACGAGCATACTAGCCAGAAAAACCCAAATGGTAGTAAGGGCTGCCCTGGTGTGTTTGGAAAACCACAGGGAGGACAGTACCGCAAAGAAGTGGGGGCGCAATGGGACAGGAAAAGCTTCGTAGGAAAGAAGTGATATTTTAACTGAACCTTATGAATAGGGTTTATTGTTTTAGAAATTATTAAAATATTAAGGGAAACCTACAAGGGAAAAAATATTTGCCCAATCCCAGCATTTCTCTGTGTTGTACTCTAACCGTTACATTCAGACACATTTACTGTTGTGATAATCACAATATATTTAAAAATACGTACGTTCTGCTCTTTCACTCGCTGTCATTTCCCTAAAGTGCCCTGCTGCTTACAGCCCTCGCTTATGCTGTTAGCTAGTCGTGTCACAGTCCACCAAGCTGATATGTCCTCGTTTATATACCAACTCATTTCCATTTATATATATATAAATTTTTTTTTTTTTTTTTTTTTTTTTTTGAGACAGAGCCTCGCTCTACTGCCCCGGCCAGAGTGCCGTGGCAACAGCCTAGCTCACAGCGACCTCAAACTCCTGGGCTCAAGCGATCCTCTTGCCTCAGCCTCCCGAGTAGCTGGGACTACAGGCATGTGCCATCATGCCCGCTAATTTTTTCTATATATTTTTAGTTGTCCAGCTAATTTCTTTCTATTTTTAGTAGAGACAGGGCCTCGCTCTTGCTCAGGCTGATCTCGAATTACTGACCTCGAGCGATCCTCCCTCCTCGGCCTCCCAGAGTGCTGGGATTACGGGCGTGAGCCACCATTCCCATTATGATACCAGACATCGCTGGAATGTTTGGTACACTGCTTATGAATGACCTCTGTAGGACCAATCTCCAGGAGTAGGCACATGGCGCAGAGACTGCGCTGTTCTTCCTCTTGACACGTCTTGCTCCCTATCTTTCACTGGTGGAAACAGAACAACAGAGACCACAACCCCAGAGCGGGGGCTGGGAGGCAGCTGGGGGGACCTAGTGCTCAGGGGAGGGGCGCCCTGGACTAACGAGGGCTCCCTGCTGGGCCAGACTCGAGTCACGTTAGACACGCCCATCGCTGACCCTTGGTGGTACGCTCAACTCCACACCTGTATCTGTAACCTTGTCGTGTCTTCCTTTCAAATCCAACATACAAAACACAGCGACTTTCCCCGGTTTTGCCCAAACGCGTCTTCTGTCTGCCCCCTTCTCCAGTTAACACCTCACCCCGGCCGCCCTAGGGGGCACGCGCACAGTTTACGTGGGCTGCACGCGCTCCCCTTCACCGTGGGATCCCTCGCTGCATTTTAAGTTCCTGAAGCAAAGGCCTCCGTCTGCTGGTGACCCGCCCTTCTGCCCCACGCTCCACTCGCCACAGACACTCCACAAAGTATGGATACCGAAAGCCAGGCCTGCTAGCCTATGTGAGTAAATGTTTTCCGCGACACACAAGCCAGAAGGCAAGCACCCCAGGGGCCTGCTGACTGCACGGTCCGCGCCCTTACCCCGATGTGCTGGAAGAGCCACGATCGCATCACGTTTGTGGCGTGCTTCGGCAGAACTCCCCTCTTATTCTTCGATGAGCCATCATCTTGATGCAAGATGCTTAGATCTTGGTTTAACTGTAACTGAAGCTTTTAAACAATTGAGAAATCACGTTAGAAAACATAGAAAACAAGACACACCCAAGTAGCGTACGACTTCGGATGCAGGAAGTAGCCAAGCTCTTACAGATCAGTGACTTATTTACAGCAAAAGCCAACACGCCAGGCCCTGCACTCGCTGATCCTACGAGGACCTGGCTCCTCTACATGTAAGTCCTGACTCTAGTGACAGTCTGCACAGGCCCCTCGCCTGGCACGGGTGCTAAGAAGGTCGCTCTGAAGGCAGGTGAAGCCCACGTCCTCTCGCCACCACCCACTCCCACCTATGCCTCCCGTAGTGAGGGGGCAACATCAATTTCCTAGGCTAACGGAGACTTCAAGCAACCAGTGACAATGGACAGGGACACCAGGAAGCAGCGCTGATGAGAGCAAGTTGTGCCAGGTGGGCTGAGGGGAAAGACGCACAGAGCACAAGAGGCTGATGGAGGGACACGGAGCAGGAGGGCGACGCCCTGTCCTCTAAGACACCGTGGCAGGCACTGAGGAAGGACAAACTACATTCCTTCAATTCTATTTAAAAGAAAAGGACCAGGCTGGCACTTCTTTGTAAGTGTCTTATCAGAAAAGCATGAAGGAAAACCTGTTCACAAGGCCATGCTCGGTCCCTGGCACGTTCTCCCAGACACGGCGTGTCCCCCTCCCTGGGACGTGCAGAGACGATGTCGTCACTGCTGCCTGCACAGACCAAGGAAGGAAGCAAACTCGTCCTCCAGGGCCCACAGCACGGACAGATCAGGCCTATGTGAGAACTTACATACGAACCGACTTAATAAATTCTACAGGTCAATTTCAGTACACTGCATTCATAAACATGGTTTAAGGATTTAGACGTTTATTTTGGAGAAATTTTTACTATATTATTTTACCTTTACTTCCTCTGGACTTATACCTTTTTGCATATATTCTTCAAAAATCTGAAAACCAACCTCTAAAGAGACAGCCGACAGGGATTGAATTTTATGACCTTAAAGGAGATACTAATATCTTGAATCTTAAAACTCAAGATTACTGAGGGAGCAATTACTTCATGAATGTGTTTGTTTAAGGACTGAGAGCAAACTGTGTTAAGAACTGCCGACAGCTGAAGTTTGTGCATACAGGGAAAAGAATGGAAATGAGCTTTTAAAAGGAGTTCCAAAGCATCAGGGCCAAACTTTAGTTTGTCTGCTGTGCTTGTCTCAGTCAAATACACGATGATGATCTTAATGAAATGTGACACGTGCTTCAGCGTTGACTTTTTCGGCTCAAGGTTAAAGCAAACCTGGGCTCCTGGATAGGCACAGCGACACTCGACTTCTGATGTGCTGCCCACAGGGTCTGGAGTGAGGACTAATTCAAGAGAAGGAAAGCTGGCTGAGGGCCCAGAGAGGACAGTCCATGCGCCCCGCTCAACTCCAGAAAAGCCTGGGGACGGGACACGGCGGGGCGTTTGGAAGCCGGGGCACTGGTTGGAAGTCTGTTTAAGAAGCACGAGGGCAGTTCATTTCTCCCTCAGCCAGAAGGACGCGTGGAGGTTGGCGTGCCCATCAAGGACAGTAGTTACTGTCCATGGTGTCCAGTGCTTTGACGAACCCTCAGATGCGCGGCCCCCTGCGGTTTCACATTGTTGGCGCATTCGTTGTATTCCTGGGTTGCAGCTTTCTACAAGTTTGCTGTGGCTGAACCAAGAAAGAAAGCATATACAGATTTCTATGGAAATTATGATGCTATGAAAGATTTTGAAGAGATGAGGAAGGCTGGTATCTTCCAGAGTGAAAAGAGATTTTGGAATATAAAGAATTTCTTTGGGTTGATTCACATAGAAGTTTGTCACTGACCTGTGCTCCTGAGCTATGCATAGGTGGGCTGAGCAATAATTTCTCTTGATAAATAAACAATCAACAAATACCAAAAAAAAAAAAAGAAGCAAGGAGGGCAGGCATGGCAGCTCATGCCCGTAATCCCAGCACTGTGGGAGGCCAAGACAGGGGGATCACTTGAGCCCAGCAATTCAAGACCAGCAATTCAAGACCAGCCTGGGCAACACAGTGAGACCCCATCTCTCACACAAAATAAAAAGAAAAGAGAAAGCGGGTAAGGAAGGTCTGCACACAAAATGGGAGCCCCCTGCCTGCTCCTGCTCCGAGCAGGGAATGGGAGAGTACTTCTCTGGAGAAACTGAACTAGATAAGACTGACGGGCGGTTGAATCTGGAGGTCAGCCTATGGAAAAGCCAGCTGGCCACAGCCCAGCACCTGAGAAGCACCAAAGAACTTTCTGGAAGCTCGTGTCTAAATTTACAAAGACAGCCACGTGTCCCCAAATACTTGAAAGCCTCTATCATAAAAAGCAGAGACCAAAGTGAATAAATTTTGGGATGCAAAGGAAACACAGAGCATGCAGGAACCAAAAGAAAATTTCAACTACCCATGAACCTAGAGCTGCATGCTATTAAAAAGAAAAAAAAAAAAAAAAAAACAACAGAAAGCAAGGAAAAGCTCTTAGAAATTAAAAATACACTGGAAAGTTAAAACTCAATAGATGGGTTGGAAAGTAAAACAAAATCTTTCTGAAAATAGGAAAAAAATGGCAATTGGAAGAAAAAATATTTTTAAAAAATCAAGCGAGTCGGTTCAGGAGGTCTAATGTTCAGTTATAAGAGCCTGAGAAAGACAGAGCGTGCGTGCTGGGGTGGGGCAAGCACCGCCACAGAAAACTGCAGGGACACACCAGAACTGAGGACTCTGAGATTAAAGGACACAGAGGGCCCAGCACAGCCCATGAAAGAGACCCACGCCGAAACATTCAGAGCACCGACGAGAAGAGGGCAGCATCCAAAAAAGGAGAAAAATGCAAACAATTTGAAGAAAGAATAACAACCTTCTCAAAAGCAACACCGTCCACTGGAAAACAAGGAGGCAATGCCCTCCCAACACCACGTGGGAAGGATTTTCAACCTGGAACTCTACATGCAAACAGACTCATATCAAATATGAGACCACATAAAGTCATTTGTGGGTTTGCAAAGTCTCAAAAAATATATATTTCTCATGCATATTTTCTGAGGAAGTTTCAAGGGAGGGAGCAAAGCCAAGAAAGCAGAAGATAAAAGGGAACCCTCAAGGTGACATCCAGGGAAAGCTCCGTCCACGACGCCCCGGCGCAGAGGGTGGCCCCGGCGTCAGGGGTTGGGGAGCTGCAGGGAGGGCCGCCCAGCACTGTGCGTCCCCGGCTGCTGGACCCACGGAAAGCTGCTGAGAGGCTGCCGGCAAGGCCGCGACGACCTGGCCCCTGATACAACGGCTCAGCAAATGGAAAGACACAAAACGACGACTAACTCAGGCAAAGAAGCCATTGGAACCAGAGCGGTGCCATAGGCAAGGCAGGCGCGGGCTGGGCTGCGACACGCGTGGACATGGAGCACGTGAGGAAGCGCATCGCCCTCCTCTCCACGACCGAAAGCCAGAACAAGGGGCGAGTTAGGAGATGAGATTTCCCACATGGAAATGGAAAGTGGCTAAAAGATTTGGCCGGGCCTGGGAGGCGGAGAGCTGTCAGGATCTGTTCCGGGCTCCTCCGCATCTGTGATGGTGGAAGCTACGACACGCGGCAACTGGATAAAAACATTAAAAATAACCATAAAGAGGAAACAGGCAAAAAAGAAAAACGTATGAGTAACAGCTGTACAAAGACTCTGCCTGGGAAAGGTGGGTGGGGAGAGGGAACCAAGGACATCTCACCCCCTGGTTAGTTCTCATGTTCTCAAAAACGGTTTTTAATGGGCTTTTAATGCACTAGAAGCGAGATTAAAGACTTTCAGTAAGACAGCCTGGGAGAGATCACCCCGCCCACAGCCCCGTAGCGGGCAGGTCAGAGAGCCCACACGCAGGGGCAGCGGGGTCCCCCGCGCCTGGGTGGCAGCTAGGCTGCGCGCACATCACCTGGAAGCGTGGCTACTGCGAGAGCCAGACACGCGGCCACCAGGCAGGGGCCCAAGAGACAGACTGGACACCGCTGTGGGAACAAGGTTTCCAGGGTTGTTTATGACTGCCACCCACACAGCCGCCATTCTGTGACTCTCACGGTGACTACTGAGGGGATTCACCGGGAACAACGCGGACCGTCAAACAGCAACGCGGGAGGAATAGACCATCACCAATTTTCCTGACAAACCCAACTCTGATAATTTCTGACACAAAACGCAGAAACCTTCATCGGTGAGCTACCCGCCTTACTTATCCGAAACACAGCAAGAACCCAAACTCGGGCTAAAAAAGAAGGAAAAAAGAGCCCAGAGTAGCCCAAGTGGCTACATACAGAATTGCATGTATCATGTGTGTGTTTTATCCTAAGAACACCTCCCCCCAGACCCTCAACCAAATCCTCCTACTTTCGCTATTCAGACCGCTCATCGGCTTGCTGATTTGGCTTCCTAGCCCTGCCGTGTGAGAAACAGTAAACTCCAAGGGGCAGCCAGGTCCCAGCTGCTGGGGGCAGGGGCAAAGGCGGGAGGCTCGCCTGAGCCCAGGGGTGGGAGGCTGCAGTGTGCCATGATCGCGCCTGTGAGCAGCCACTGCACTCCAGCCTGGGTGACACGGCAAGACCCCAGCTCTGAAAAACAAACAGAAAAACAACACGGGGGTGCGACGCGGAGGACAGAAGCCACACAGTGACCTGCTGGGCACTGCACAGACCAAAGCAGAGGCAGCTCCTAGGCGGCAACCAGGGCATTACGTTCACTGGAGTCTATCTACGCGGGCTGGAGGGAGTCACACCTTGAACTTCAGGTGAGAAAGTGTTCTACTGCAATACTTCAAACTCTGTAGGCTTGCAACTTAATTCAGTTAATTAGAAAACTTCCCCTTTTTTGCACTCTGCCGCCCAGGCTCACTGCAGCCTTGAACTCTCAGGCTCCATCTATTCTCCCACCTCAGCTTCCCAAGTAGCTGGGACTACAGTCATAAGCCACCACACCAGGCTAATTAAAAAAAAAATCTAGTTAGAGACAGGATCTCTCTATATTGCACAGGCTGGTCTTAAACGCCTGGGCTCAAGCAGTCCTCTGACCTTGGCCTTCCAAAGTGCTGGGATTACACGTTCGCGCCACCGCACCCAGCAAAACTTCCTTCTTAACGAGACAAATGAACCTCTACTATGTAAGTAAAGCATTTGACTTTAAAATGTTTCCTCTAAAAGAGTATATCTGAGACTACAAAACCACAAACCAGACATCGCTTTATTTTCACAGATATTTTAAACAGAAAAGAAGGCTGGTCCCAGAACCCAGGGACAGCACTGGTAGCGCCTGGGCGGTCCCTACAGCCCATGGCGTGTTTGCACTGGTGATCTCTGAAGGCCCCGCCCAGGCCCTCTGGTATTTGCTATTGTGTTCAATAAAACGCCAACACCCCAAGGCTGGGGACTCAGTTGTTAAGGTTGTGGAAATACCTGTGCGGGTCAAAGACAAAGCTAACATAAAGAACACATCAATGTCTGCAGATGAGACCGGGCAACGCGCACTGGTCAGAGCCTTGTGCGGGCTCAGCGGGCACAGCAGAGAGGCCCCAGCAGCTGTTCAGAACGTGGGCTCCGGCCCAGCAGGACGTTCTTACGCTGCAGGAGTGGGCCAGGCTTGCTGCACGGGAAAACCAGCCTGGCGGCTGTGCTGTGCCCTCCTGGGGACACTGGGAAGAGTGCGCCTACAGGACCTCCAGCCTCCTGATGGACAAGCACAGAATCCGACACTGACAATGGAACAGCGGCTGCTCCAGGGCGGCAGGGGATTATGAGTTACTTTTTCCCTGCTTCTTCAGAATTTTCCCAACTGCGCACTCTCTACAGTGAGGCAGACGAAGACCGCAAAGAAACCAAACACTGACGTTCGGATTAACTAGAGATCGCCACACACGCAAGGGTCTCCACGCAGGGGGACGGCTCCAGCTTGCTCTGCCTGTGCCCCACACGTACGCAGCCCTGGCCCCCGGCAGCCTCCCATTGAATGGCACACGCACCTGGGAGTTCTGGATCCTAATCGTCCCGGGGGACAGCGCCTGTGTGACCACTTGGCCTTGGGGGGTGACAACCGTGACAGGCTGATACACTGTGCCACCTAGAAAGGGAGAAGGAAAAATAAACCACTTTGAAGTCTTAATGATTTAAAACCATTCTCCTTGATGTACTTATAGAAGGACTAAAATCGCTAGTTTGATGAGTGTTTTAATCATTTCAAATGATCAACAATACTTTGCCAGTTGACTTGTCCCTATAAATCATCAGAACTAACTCCCTGGCGGGGCGAACGGGCACCAGGCCTGACAGCACGCACAGCGCCACTGCCAGCCGACGGGGTGCAGGGCTCCTTCCTTTGCCTTGCCTCTGCTTTCTACTGTTTCCCACAACGAACACATACTAAAAGTTTAGCCAAACACACTAAGCAGTAAATATTTGTTTCCTAGCTATGCTTTCAAACCAATGGTGCTCTCTTATCCCTGCGAGGCTTTTCAGTGTAAACTTCTCCCCCGCCCCCACGCCCCATCCCATTCTCATGACGCCATGTTCACAACCTTCCGCCTGCACCAGGGAACTCTGGAGTCTGGCCCCCTCCTGTAAGGTTTTTGTTCTACAAGTAAGACTAAGACTAAGACTGCATTTTTATCTCATTATCAGCAATAATACAACTTAAGATTTTGGGTGCTGCTAGAAGTACAATTTAAAACTATGTTATTTGAAAATGACAATTGGTTTTCACTATATATTTTCAACTCCCATATAATACTTTTTTTTTTCCCAATATATTTTTTGTAGAGAAACACAATTTACATAAAATATTTGTTATTGAGAATTAACGAGAAATCGGCAAAGAGTACCAGCTTCTAACACTACTCTATCATGAACCAGCATTCATTAAAAATCATATGTAGGCCAGGCGTGGTGGCTCACTCCTATAATCCTAGCACTCCGGGAGGCTGAGGCGGGCGGACTGTTTGAGCTCAGGAGTTCGAGACCAGCCTGAGCAAGAGTGAGACCCCGTCTCTACTAAAAATAGAAAGAAATTAATCGGACAACTAAGAAAAAATTAGTCGGGCATGGTGGCGCATGCCCGTAGTCCCAGCTACTCGGGAGGCTGAGGCAGGAGGATCACTTGAGCCCAGGAGTTTGAGGCTGCTGTGAGCTAGGCTGACGCCACGGCACTCACTCTAGCCCCGGGCAAAAGAGTGAGACTCTGTCTCAAAAAAAAAAAAAAAAAAAAAAAAATCATATGTATATACTCATTCTAACATACAGGACCTTTTCTCTGTTAAAGCTCAGGACAAAGTGTCCATCTGTCCGTCATCGTACCTGCCACGGTCGCCATGGCTACGTTTCCCTGTTGCAGCGCAGATGCTGGCACCACGATCCCTTGGGGGCTGATGGTGCCCGTGATGGCACTTTGAAGCTGCTGCAAGTCAGAACACACATGTTGAGGCATTACTAGAAAACAGAAAACCCACGTTTAAAACTTCACAATAAGTGAGATAATGATATCGTCCATAAAGGAAAGAGATGTGTGGGGCGAAGAGCACACACAGATGACAAGGCTTTCAGAAAGCCTGCGTCACACACGTGGGAACCAAGACATGCGAGACTAACTGTGCGTTAAATACAGCTGTCAACACTGAAATGCTGGCTTGCACTGCGGCCTCCAAGAGACCATCTTTCACCTCACTGCCATATCCCACACACCTTTAAGCCCTGGAGGTGTAACTAGGGAGACCCCGATTTCTGGTACTCACCCCAATCACAGCACAGACCACATGTGAGCACCCCCGTTCTTATTTGTAGAGTACCTGGGACTGGGCCTGCCTGCAGCCAGCTCTATGCAGACGTTTGTCAACTCTACCCATCTGGAATCACCCATGTGGGCTACATTATCCACTTGCTATGATGGCTGGGCTTGCAGCTGGCAGGAAAAGGGGAATCTAGCACAGGGCCCGGCGCAGCACGCTCCCCAGTCCTCGAGCAGTTAAACAGCAAGGTGGACATCCCCCAAAGGCAATTCCACTGTGGGCTACCACTGATTTGAATGTATAGGCTTTGGTAGGCGTGCTTAAAATCTGCCGCATTGTAAATGGTAAGCCATCAGACTCAATAATCTAAGCTCTAACCTTAAAATCCTAGTAAAAGAAGAACATAAGGAACCCAAGGCAGAAGGTAGGAAATGATTAAGATCAGAACAGAAATAAATGTAATTGAAAATAAAAAAAAAAAAACCAGAAAAATCAATGAAACAAAATGCTGGTTCTTTGAAAATTTCAAAACATAAACCTCTAGAAAGACTGACCAAAAAGAGAAAAGAGACAGAGAGAGCGAGCGAGGAGGCACAGATGACTAATAACAGGAACGGAACAGGGGATCGCTACAGACCCGCAGACGTGAAAAGGCTGAGAGTTACGGAACGCGGTTAACAGAACTGCAACCTCCTCCACTCCACATCTTAGGTGAAATGGACCAGCGCCTCAAAACACACCAACTACCGTAACTCTCCAGTACGAAATCGATAATTCAACCACTAAGGAAATTAAATTCATAATTTTAAAACTCCTAAAAAGGACTCTCCATGTCCATGGAGTTTTACTGAGGAATTCCACCTTTCGAATGTTTGGAGAAGAATTAAAAGCAAGTCTACATAATTTCTTCCAGAAAACACAAGAGCAGGGGACACTCCCCAATCCATGTATTATCCTGATACCAAAACCAGACAAAGAAAAATGAAAACTACACATCAATACTCTTAGGAACATAAACATAAAAATGTTAACAAAACACTAGTGAATTGAATTCAGGAATATATATAAAAAGAATTATGTGCCATGACCAAGTGGAGTTTATTCCTGGAATGCAAGGCTTGTTCAATGTTAAAAATAAATAAATAAATAGAAATCAATCCATGTAATCTCCTATTAATAGCCTAAAGATGAAAAACCACATGATCACATCAATCCATTTAGGGAAAGCATTTGATAAAATTCAATGTAATAAAAACTCTCAGGAAAATAGGAATAGAGGGGAACTTCCCCAAATTGATAAAGAACATCTGGAAAAAACCTATAACCAGCATCATTCATGGTTAAAGGCTAAAAGGTTCTCCCTAAGATTGTGACAAAGTAAGATGTCTGCTCTTGTCACTCTCATCAAGAGAGACTAGATGTTCTAGTCAGTGCAATACAACAAAAGAAAGAAAAGGCATACAAACAAACCAGGAAGGACAAAACTGAACCATCCCTATTTGCAGATGACATGACTGAAAAGGTAGAAAATCCTAGGGAAGCTACAGAAACATCCTCCTAGAACTAATAAATGAGTTGAGCAAGGCCACAGCATGCAAGATAAACACACAAAAATCAATTGTATTTCTATATATTAGCATGAATACATGGAAACAAAAATTAAAAATATACCACCATTTAGAATCACTCATAAAGTTGAAATACTTAGGTATAATTCTAAACCCATGTATAAGACTTATGGGTCAAAAACTACAAAACATTGATGAAAGAAATCAAAGAAGATGTCAGCAAATGGAGAGACATACCATGTTTGTGGATTGGAAAACTCAATATACTAAAGACATCAATTCTCCCCAAACTGATGCACAGGTTTAATGCAATTCCTATTAAAATCCCAGTGAGATTTTTTTGTAGGTCTAGACAAGATTATTCTAAAATTTATATGGATAGACTAAGGAACTAGAATAGTTAAAATAATTTTGAAAATAAGCTATAGTAACCAAGATTATATGGTACAAACACACAGATCAATGGAACAAAACAGAAAACGCAGAAACAGGCCCCACAAACATGCCCAACTGATTTTTGACACAGGTGCAAAAAACAATTCAGTGGAAGCAGGATCACTGTTTCAACAGATGGTGCTGGAGCAAACAGATCCACAGGCCAAAAGATGAACCTCGACCTAAGCCTCACGCTTTCTATGAAAGTTAATTCAAAATGGACTGTGGATTTAAATGTAAAACTATAAAACTTTTAGTAAAAAACATAAAACAAAATCTTTGGGGCCTAGCGCTAGGCAAAGAGTTCTTAGACTTGGCACAAAAAGCGTGACCCATAAAAGGAAAATAAATTGGACTTTATCAAAATTAAAAATGTCTGCACTAGGCCGGGTGAGGTGGCTCGGGCCTATAATCCTAGCACTCTGGGAGGCCAAGGCAGGAGGATCACTTGAGGTTAAGAGTTCGAGACCAGCCTGAGCAAGAGTGAGACCCTGACTCTACTAAAAATAAAAAATTAGCCAGGCATGGTGGCACATGCCTGTAGTCCCAGCTACTTGGCAGGCTAAGGCAGGAAGATCGCTTGAGCCCGAGAGTTGGAGGTTGCTGTGAGCTAGGCTGATGCCATGGCACTCTAGCCCAGGCAACAGAGTGAGACTCTGTCTCGGAAAAAAAAAAAAAAAAAAAAATGTCTGCACTGCAAAAGACCTGTTAAGAGTATGAAAAGGCTGGTCTGATGGTAGTGGGTTATCAGAACTTATTAACATTAGTGTCAATAAAGTTGGTATTCAACCCCCCACTGCTAAATTTGACTGGCTTAAAAAAAAATAAAAAATAATAAAAAGAAAAAAAAGGAAAAAAAACAAAAAAGAGTATGAAAAGAGGGCCAGGAGTGGCGGCTCATGTCTGCAATCCTAGCACTCTAGGAGGCTGAGGCAGGAGGATCACTTGAGGCCAGGAGTTTGAGACCAGCCTGAGTAAGATCAAGACCCCGGCTCTACTAAAATAGAAAAATTAGCCTGTATTCCCAGCTACAGCTACTTGAGAGGCTGAGGCAGGAAGGTCCCTTGAGCCCAGGAATTGGAGGTTGCAGTGAGCTACGATGATGCCACTGTGCTCTACCCAGAGTGACAGAGTAAGACTCTGTCTCAAAAAAGAGGATGAAAAGATACTTAGCTACAGACTTGGAGGAAATATCTGAAAACCATATATCCAATAAAGAACTAGTATCGAGAATAAGCAAAGAAATCTCAAAACTCAGCAGTTTAAAAAAAAACAATTAGAAAATGGGCAAAACACAGGAGCATTTTACCAAAGAAGATATACAGATGGTATATAAGCACATGAAAAAATGTTCAGTATCGTTAGCCATCAGGGAAATGAAGACTTGAAACAACAATGAGTGTCACCACGCAGCATGAGCATGGCTAAAGTACAACAGTGCCTCAACGGGGATGAAACTTAATAGCATTTTGCTAAGTGAAATGAGCTGGTCACAAGAGGATTTCACTTGCAGGAGGACCTAGAGTGCTCACATCCACAGAGACAGACAGGAAAATGGGGGTGCCAGAGGCTGGAGGAGGGGATGGGGACTTAGTGTTTAGTGGGGGCAAAGGTTCGGTTTGGGAAAATGGAAAGTTCTGCAGACGGATGGTGGTGATGGCTGCGCAACGCTGCGATGTACTTCACACCCCTAAAGTGTGCACTTAAAAATAGTTAAGATGGTGTTATACAGTTTTTTAAAATAATAAACATTTTTCAAAGAAATAAAAGAAAGAAATTAATGGTACTGTACCCTCCATCAACATGGGACTGGGGGGCCAGCACGCAGACTGAGGACTCACTTCACACCCTGAGAGAGTTCATTCCCAAACCAGGCCAGGTCGGGAATCTACAGGGTCCTCCCGGCAAAAAGCCACTGAGACGGCCCAGCAATTGGGAAAGGGCTGGCGGTCTCACGAATCAGTGCAGGTGTCTGCGGTGGCCGAGAGGCAAAGTAGGACCCCAAACGCATGTACCTGGGACTGCACGGGGGAGTATGGGCTTCCAGGCTCTCCACTCAATAAAGTTTCACTGTTCATTTTCGTTTTTAGACAAGCAATATATCGACTGCAGAAATCTTTGCAGAGTTCATTAACCTTTTCCAGCTCAAGAAGATGAATGCGCAAAACCTGGATTGCTTTTACCATCTAGAAGCAGAGAAAATAAAGACTTTCAGACAAGACAGAGCAGCACCATGGTAAGTTATCATTGTCTCACATGCCAGTTCTTAGTTACTAGATGGAACCACCTTTTCTGCCAATAACAGAACGGACTCGTGTCAGAAGTCGCACAAACTGAAGTTCCAGTGCTGTGTGTCCGGCCGCATCCGGAGTGCAGGGAACACAACAGCGCCCGGTGCCGACCTCAGCGCGTCCCAGGGCGGGAGCGCGGGCTCTGGGCCGTGGACGGCCAGGCCGGCTCCGCCACCGGCTTACTCCGGAGCGGGGCAAGTCACGTTCGCTGGCCACTCCTGCCTCTGCACCATAAACAGGAACACGTCCACGCCCGCTCCTCAGTGGTTCTTAACTTTCGTAACGTTCAACTTTGGTGTCAAGTCTAAGGACGCTTTGCCTAGCCCTAGATCTTGAAGATTTTCTCTTACAGTTTTTCTAAAAGTTTGTTATTTTTGTATTAAGTTGCTAACGGGGTAATTTGTCCCACAGCAATAGCTAACTAATATCGACATGAAACCACCTTCGTAAGAACCACATGTCTGCGAGCCCACAACCCACAGCTCATCTCCTTCCCTAGAAACGCCGTGGGGGTGAGCCACACGCATTTGCGCGATGAATGGTCCCCGCTCAGCAGCAAGTCACCGAGCATCGGGCTCTGCTAGTCCCTGTGCTGAACAGTCACCAGTCAGGAGAACCTTGGTCCCTGCCAAGCCAGAAGGGCAGAGAAGACACCGGCTCCCCACCTGCTGAGCCAAGGCAGGAGTGGGCCAATGGAAAGTTGGATGCGCGACAGACTCGGGCAGAGAGAGTTCTGGTCATCGCCCCAAAAGGGCATGCGCCATTACTCTCACTTCAGGGAATGAGGAGACAGATTCAAAGTCAGATAATTTGCTTATAAAATCTATTAGGTGGCTGGGCACGGTGGCTCACGCCTGTAACCCTAGCACCCTGAGAGGCCGAGGTGAGAGGATTGCTTGAGGCCAGGAGTTCGAGACCAGCCTGAGCAAGAGCAAGACCTCGTCTCTACAAAAAATAGAAAAATTAGCCAGGCGTGGTGGTGTGTGCCTGTAGCCCCAGCTACTCCAGAGGCTGAGGCAGGAGGGTCACTTGAGCCCAGGAGTTTGAGATTGCTGTGAGCTAGGTTGACACCACGGCACTCTATCCCAGGCAATGGAGAGAGACTCTATCTCAAAAAAAAAAAAATCTATTAGGCAGTAGGGACTGAGTATATCATAAGAATTTTTCTTTTTCTATTTTTTTTTAAGAACAGACATCAACCCCAATGAACCTTTACAAATACACAGAAGAGAACTGAATTCCCTAGACCAGTTGGGATGGAGGCTCAAATTATATATTTGCTTAGTAAAGGGCGACTAGAGACGGCTAGAAGACGTAGAGACATCCAAGTTACACGCACTATAAAATAAATTATTCTATAGTGACATGGTTCCCTCCTTTAGCAGAACTACAAGCAGTCCAAAGCTCTAATTGTAAGTTTAAAATTCTACTTACTAAATTGTCAGTTTCTGGATCTTCACAAAAGAAGGGTTTCCCTTCTTTTTCTTGCTTCCTTACAAAATTTTCGATGTCCACGTCAAAACTGGCAGAAGTTGTGCCTTCAGAGCCCTGGGTGGATTGTTCACACTTTTCAAACAACAAAGCTAACAATGGGAATAGTGGATGCCTGCGGAAGGGAAAAAAAAAAAAAAGAATAAACATATGCTTTCCACCTCCATGAGAATGTCTGGCGTGTATGCATGCATTACTTTGTGTGACACCTTTGTTGGGCTACAATTTACATACCACACAATTCATCTATTTAAAGTGTAAAATTCAACGGTTTTTAGTGTATTTATAGAGCTGTGCAACCCTTGCCACAGTTGATTTTAGAACTTTTTCATCATCTCCAAAAGAAACCCTGTGCCCATCAGCAGCGGGTCCACTTCCCCCAAGCCCCAGCCCCCCACGAATCCACCTTCTATCTCTACACATCTAGACATTTCACAGAAACAGATCACTGAGCACGTGGCCTGCGGTGGTTGGCGTCTGTTTTTGAGGTTTATTAACGTTGTAACGTGTATCAGCACTTCGTTCCTTTTTACGGCCAGATAACATCCCATCACACGGACGCACCATACTTCACCCGTCCATCCGTCGGCTGATGGGCGTGTGGTTGTTTCCACCTTTTGGTTATTACGGTTAACGCTGCCATGGACATTCATGTACAAGTTTTCGTGTGGACGTATGTTTTCGTCTCTCTCGGGTATGTGCACGCAGTGGAACTGCTAGCTGGCTCATATGTAACTCTACGTTGAACTTTTTGAGGAACTGCAGGACTGTTTTCCAAAGTAGCTGCACCATTTTACATTCCCACCAACGGTGTGTGAGGATACCAATCTCTCCACACCCTTAACACTTGCTATTTTCTGTTTTTTGTTTTTTTAATTATAGTCATTGTAATGAGTGGTGTATCTCTGGTATTTATTTATTTTATTTTATTTATTTATTTTGAGACAGAGTCTCACTCTATTGCCTGGGCTAGAGTGCTATGGTGTCAGCCTAGCTCACAGCAACCTCAAACCCCTGGGATCAAGCAATCCTCCTACCTCAGCCTCCCGAGGAGCTGAGACTACAGGAACACCCCACCACGCCCAGCTAGTTTTTTCTATTTTTAGTAGAGACGGGGTCTCGCTCTTGCTCGGGCTGGTCTCCAACTCCTGAGCTCAAGCAATCCTCCTGCCTCGGCCTCCCGGCTAGGATTACAGGCATGAGCCACCACGCCTGGCCTCTGGTATTTATTCTTAATTACACAATAAGTGAACATATACCTCTTTAAAAAATTCAGACCATACAGACCAAGCAGAAATCCTCTCGGATACCACACTGTACTCCACCCCCTCCTCCCCTCTCCCAGAGTGGTCGCTGTAATGTTTTAATGGGTGTCCTTTTCCACAGGATGCTGTACCCTCCCATAGTTCTGTAACTTGGTTTGTTCTTCAAAATGTTCGTATGTCACACAAACAGGACTGGTTTCATTGGTATAAGACTTAGGAGCTGCCCAGGGCCTTGACTCAGTTTAAGGCTCTGCTATTACTGTCCTTAAAACATTCAGAACAAGGAGCGCCATGCTTTCTTTTTGCACTGGGCCCCATAAATTACATAGCCAGTGCTGCTTAAAATACTGTGTCCATGCACAGAAATCCGTATCTTAACTGCTGCAATGCAGGACACAGTATGAAATCCCAACAGTGTAACCATTCACCTATTTTTTTTTTTTTTTTTGAGACAGAGTCTCACTCTTTTTGCCCAGGCTAGAGTGAGTGCCGTGGCGTCAGCCTCGCTCACAGCAACCTCACACTCCCGGGCTCAAGCAATCCTTCTGCCTCAGCCTCCCGAGTAGCTGGGACTACAGGCATGCGCCACCATGCCCGGCTAGTTTTTTCTATATATTTTTAGTTGTCCAATTAATTTCTTTCTATTTTTAGTAGAAACGGGGTCTCGCTCTCGCTCAGGCTGGTCTCGAACTCCTGAGCTCAAACAATCCGCCCGCCTCGGCCTCCCAGAGTGCTAGGATTACAGGCGTGAGCCACCGCGCCCGGCCCTCCATTCACCTATTGTTGATTGTTTACAGATAATTATTGTTTACGAACACCGCAGGAGAGACTCGGCGTACATATGCAATGACCTTCCAGGAGAGCTACCTGGAAATGGAATCGCATACACACTATGCAAGTTATTACCATCACACGCTACAGCAGGGATAAACCTTGAGGACATTATGCTAAGTGAAGTAATTTGTCACAAAAGACAAATATTGTATAATTCCACATACATAAGTCTCTAAAATAGTCAGGTTCATAAAAACCGAAGTAGAATGGTAGTTGCCAGGGGCTGGGCGAGGAAGGAGGAAAAGATGACAGTTGTTTAATGGGTACAGAGTTTCAGATCTGCAAGATGCGAAAGTTCGGATTTGTTTCACAGCAATGTAAATGTGCTTTATACTACCAAACTGTGTACTTAAAAATGGTTAAGATGGTAAATTTGTTATGTGTTTTTTACTACAATTAAGCAAAAACAAGAAAAGAAAATGGGGTGATCAATTAAACAAAAAGTTGCCTGAGAGCCAAAATGCTCTGCGGACGTCACACTTCACTCACAGAGACAGGGCTGTCTTCGTCCCCCCAGGTAGGGCTGGCGCCACTCTCCCGGCTCGTCGTATCTTGGCCAATCTGATGAGCCAAAAGTATATTCCATTGCTGAATGTTTCCGTGTGTTTGGCCATTTACCGTCCTCTTCAGAAACCTGCCTGCTGTGTCACTCACAGGCTGTCTGTCTGTCTCTTATTGATCACTTGAAACTTTTACGATATTAATACTTTGTCTTTATGTCACACACAGTTTCTCCCAGTCTTAATTTATGATATATTTTATCACATAAATGGTTTATTTTCAAGTATTCAAATTTATCAGTCTTTTTTTTAGTTTGTGCCTTATTTAAGAAGGCACCCTCAACTCAAAGTTACACAAATATTTTTCTATATTTTCTTCTAAGTTCTTATGTAATTTTAATCTTATAAACAATGGGATCTTTACTCTAACTGGAATTTATTTTTATGAACAAAGTGAGGTAAGAATCTCAAGTTTTTGTTTACATTCTTCATTAAAATCGTAGTATTCTCTATGTAGTTCTTGCATACTTATTACTAGGTTTATTCCTTGTTATTTTTAGCTACTTTAAGTGGAATTATTCTATTTAAAAAATGTTTTTGTTATTTTTTCTTTCCATTTCCACATGTATCAATATAAAACATTTTTTTTTTTTTTTTTTTTTGGGACAGAGTCTCACTGTGTTGCCCGGGCTAGAGTGCTGTGGTGTCAGCCCAGCTCACAGCAACCTCAGACTCCTGGGCTCAAGCGATCCTTCTGCCTCAGCCTCCCGAGTAGCTGGGACTACAGGCATGTGCCACCATGCCCGGCTGATTTTTTCTATATATTTTTAGTTGTCCAATTAATTTCTTTCTATTTTTAGTAGAGACGGGGTCTCGCTCTTGCTCAGGCTGGTCTCAAAACTCCTGAGCTCAAACAATCCGCCCGCTTCGGCCTCCCAGAGAGCTAGGATTACAGGCGTGAGCCACCGCGCCCGGCCAATATAAAACATTTTTAATTGAGTTAGTTCCAAGGTATATGAAATCAATTTTTTAAACATTCTGACCATGGTATTTATTTTTTAAATTATCCACCAGTGAAGCTGACCGTCCTTGAAGTGCAGGCCCATGAACTCAGCACGTGCGCAGACTGGCGCCAGCACCGCCGCGGTCAGGACGTGGAGAACCTCAGGTCCCCCTCTGCAGCCCCCGCCCCACCCCCGGCAACCGCTGAGCTGGTCACCATTACTACAGCTTTGTCTTTCCAAGAACGCCGTGTAAACGCAACCTTACAATATGTAACCTTTCAAGGATGGCTTCACTCCCGCAGCATAACGCAGCTAGAGTTCAAGTTGTTCTACGTATCCACGCTCCTTCCTTTTTATTACTGAGAAACACTTCATTGCATGGTCACACAGGACGTCCTCACTAACCTTCACAGGTTCTTGGAAGCTGCTCCCTATAGCAGGTCCTCAAATAGCATCACGTTGATGAGAAAAAACAAACTGGCTTCGTCACACATAGTGTCACTTCAAGTCACAGACTCCAAGAGGCCGGATGCTTAGTGAGGATTTACTATGCATTTGTCTGTTCATTCATCGGCTGGGAAACAGTTGGGTTGTTTCCAGTGTCTGATAATTATGAACAGTGCCCAGTGGAACAGGTGTCTGCACATCACTGTCCACAGCAGCAATGTTGACAGTAGTCACAAGGTGGAAACAGCCAAGTGTCCACTGACGAATGGACAAACAAATGCGACACATACATACCATGAAACGTCACTCAATCTTAAAAAGGAAGAAAAATCTGACACATGCTACAACGTGGATGAACTCTTAAGACATTATGCTAGGTGACATAAGCTGGTCACAAGAGGACAAATACTGTACGAGTCCACTTATGTGAGATACCTGGAATGATGAAATTCACAGATAGAAAGTGGAATGATGGCTGCCAGGAGCTGGGAGGAGGAGGAGGAAATGGGGACTTAGTGTTGAACGGGGACCGAGCTTCGGTTTGGGATGATGAAGAAGTTCTGGACATCGATGGTGGTGATGGTTGTACAACAATGTGAACGAACTTAACACCAATGAACTGTACGCCCAAAAAGGTTAAGATGATAAATTTCGTTATATATATTTTACCACATTAAAAAAAATTCATACATAGGATTTTGTGTGAATTTCACTTTTCATTTCTCCAGAGCAGACACCCAGGAGTACTGGGGATGGCCGGGCCATATGAAATGCGCATGTTTGTAAGAGAGGACACACCACCGTCCATACTGACAGCCCGTCGGCATTCCCATGAGCGACGCACAGGAGTTCCAGGTGCTCAGCACTCTTTGCCAATACTTGGTTTGATCACTTTTTTCATTTTAGCCGTTCTAATAGATGCATAGTGGTACCTCCTCATGGCTTCCATGTTCATTTCCCTGGCCACTGAATAACTTCCACAACCCAAGCCAGTCTTGCCTTCCTGGGATAAACTCCACTTGGTCACTGGGTATCATTCTTTTTATACACTGCTAGATTTGACTTGTTAATATTTTATTGATGATTTTTACATCTAAGTTCATGAGGAATACTGGTCCGTATTTTTCTTGTTTTGTGTCATCTCTGTCTGGTTTTACTATCGGAGTGATGCTCAAACCACAAAATGAGCTGGGAAGCATTCCTTCCCCTTCTATTTTCGGGAAGAGCCTGTGTGGACTTGCTGTTCTTTTCTTCTTTATATGTTCAGCAGAACTCCCCAGGAAAACCATCTGGGCCTAAAGATTTCCTTTACAAGGTTATCTAAAATGTAGTTTACATTTCAAAACTTTTTTTTAGATTTTAGAAATAACATCTTAATCTGAGAGGATTTTAACCCAGGCAGTTCTCACGTCATCTCCGCTCTGCCCGGCAGTGGCTCTAGTGCTCCACCCAACGCGGTTTTCCGCTCTCTTCCTCCTGCGAAAGCCCCGCCCCACACCTCCTCGCGGGCTACCTATAAATGGCCTGCTTGTCTGCGTCCATCGGGGTCTGAGACTCCACAGGGGGAGGGCTTGCTCCTTCCGCATCAGGTTCAGAGCAGTTTGGATCTTGCTCTGTCTTTAACTCTGTTACTACTTGCATCTGCAAAGGAGGAGGACAATTTTTGTTACCAGACACAAAATAAACCGCTAAGTATTCTATTCTCCAACAGGAATGCAATCAGAATGGCAAATTGCCAGACAGTTATATGACTGGCAATAATACATAGGGAATATTGCCAACAAAACTCTCTTGAATTTAATGTGCTTTAAAAATAGATAAAATAAAGGTTAAATTCCAAAACTGTTAAAGAACTGAGATGACCAACCAATATCTCCTAAATACTCATGATTTTTAAAACCATAGTAACTATACACCATTGAAGGGAATTCCTGCTATGTATCCTCACTTTTAATAATACTACATGGCCAGGCGCGGTGGCTCAGGCCTGTAATTCCAGCACTCTGGGAGGCCAAGGCAGGAGGATAGCTTGAGACCACGAGTTTAAGACCAGCCTGGGCAACAAAGTGAGACCCCGTCTCAATCAAAAAACAAAACAAAAACGACAACAAAAAAATAATACTAGAATACAAGTAAGAGAAGTATGAAGTATAAAGAAATAGTCCAAGCTCTTATTGTATCATAAAAACAAATCAAACCTAATATACTACATATTTGTGACAGGGATGAAATTCTCCCATATATACCTCAAATATCAAATACATAAGCTATAAAAATGTTAAGAAATGTCACGAATTCAGAATATAAAGGCCAGATGTGTTTACTTAAAGTCTTAAAGATACTATCATTTAAATTGCTTTAAACAAGCTATGTGTTTGCCACTTAGGTAAAAGCATTTAAGTCCTTAAACAAAGAATTCAGTTTACAAAAAAATTTTGCTCCAGTAAACTACTAATTACCCATGAGCGGCAGATGAAATTGTCCTGACCTCAGCTTCTTCAGGCCCAAGGCCTGGCCATACCTCTGCCCCTGGAGGAACCAGCCTGGGGGGAGGGGGACGGGCTGTGCCCTCTTCCCTCCAGCGAGAGGAGACGACTTTCCTCCTACTGCCGCCTTTAGATGGTATAAAATACCTGAGAAACTGTTTTTCTCCTTCTCTTAAAAAATAAAAGCAACCAAACCCCAATCGAGCATAGTATTTCTGGAGAGGAATACGATAGTATGTATAAAAAGCCGTAAAAGATTTATTTCAGTAATTTTTAAATGATTGTGGAAAAAGAGAAAACTAAAACTAAATGTTCAACCTTGGAGGAATGGTTAAGCAATTAAGATATCTTTATATCGTAGACACATTTTAATGTCTGTTTAAAATAACACTTGCAAGATGATTTCCAGGTCCCGGGGAAGCACTGACACGGGACAGCTGCCTGGGAGGAGGCAGCGCCAGAAGCGGTCGCTGTTCCTCCTTCTGGGGTGAGAGGGCACGTTGTCAGAGGCAGGGTGAGGCAGGTGGAAGGCTGGGTAAGCAGGGCGGCAGGGAGTCTTTGCTGGCACGTGGGGTCTGAGCAAATAACCTGATGGGCAGCAGAGCAACAGGAACACCCAGGGCCAGTGACCCACAGCAGACAGAGAAGTGCCCAGGTGTGCAGGCAGAGGGAGTTCAAAAGAGGGGCTGGGGGTGGTCAGAGCGCCACAGGGCAGTTTGGGTTACCTCAATCCATGGGGAGCCACTGGAGGGCTCAGGCAGGGGGTCACTGTTAGATTTGCATTTGTTTTTTTTGGAGACAGAGTCTCACTCTGTCACCTGGGCTAGAGTGCCATGGCATCAGGCTAGCTCACAGCAGCCTCAAACTCCTGGGCTGAAGTGATTCTCCTGCCTCAGCTTCCCGAGTAGCTGGGACTACAGGCATGTGCCACCATGCCTGGCTACAGATTTGCATTTTAGAAAAACAATTCACTTGGAAATACTAAAGGACTTCTAGGCTAGTAAAGCAGGCTAAAACTACATCATGGAATTTTCCTCCCTCAATTCCTGTAAGAAGCAAAAAGCACTTTAAAAACGCCAATAAGGGCCAGGCATGGTAGCTCAGGCCTGTGATCCCAGCACTCTAGGAGGCTGAGGCAGGAGGATCGCTTGAGCTCAGGAGTTGGAGACCAGGCTGAGCAAGAGCAATTTTTCTACGAAAAATAGAAAAATTAGCTGGGACAGGGAGGCAAGGGAGGCAGTCCCCCTTAGTGCCTGAACACCCTCTGCAGACATGCTGGGCGGTGCCATTGAGCCACCCTGCCCTGCCCGACTCCACAGAGAAAACTCACTGCAAAGGAAAGCAAAGGGCAGGGCTGAATCTCTTCACTGGAAATGAGCTTCAGGGCTCCAGAGTCTAGCAGGTTCGGAACACACGGAGAAACACTCTTGCCCAAGTGCCTCAGCTGAGCTTCTCCTCCTGCCTCCCTCTCCTCCTCAATTCTTTCAGGTCATAGGTCAAAATACCCAGATACTCAAGAACACAAGTACTGTAGCTTCCAGGAAAACAAAATCATCTCCGGTGGGAGGGCAGTGCCACCCCAGGCATACACGGGTAAAAGTGCAAGCAGCAGAACTCGCAAATACGTCACTGGGATGGTCCCCCACATGCTCACAACTGGGGAGATGAAACCACAGAACTCCCATTAAAAAGTTGATCAACTAAGACATTCAGATTGGTGACCGGTCAACGTGGGAATCTGTAATTATCAAAACCAACCAGCTTTTCTTTAAAAGCAACAATACAAATTAATACCAACGTTAAAAAGGTAAATTCCCAAAAAACTATCACATGTTTGGAGGGGTGGGGTTCAAAATTACTGGCAATCTTGGTATCACGTAAGGAAATAATATGAATAATTCTACAGTTTATCTTTCCAAACACCAACATAGAGTAGGTGCACACCATACTTAAAATTGAATATGCAACCTCATGGAAACTGAATTCTAAACACAAAGCACTGTCTGTGTTTTAGTGCCAGGCCGGCTGTACTCAGAATGCAGAACGAAGTTCAAGTCTCACTTGCTGCCCGTCCTGATAGCTGTCTATGCTCAGCGTCTGTGTGGCCATCATGGTTCCCGAGGGCTGCACGAGAAGTCAGATCATCCTGAGTGACGGCACATGGAGTCTGGGGACAAAAGGACAAGGGCATCAGTCAAGAGGCAGAGAGTGTGTTTGGTCTCCTTTATTCCACAGCATCCATATAACTTTTTAAAAATACACATTTTTACATGGAGAGGAAAAAATCATCTTTAACACTATGTTCTAAGCCAAATCTTGCCTAGCAGCATCTCACGTACTTAGCAATGACTTACCTCATTGTGCCGGGCCCTGACTTGCTGTTACATTTTCAGCCCCCTGCGTTCACCACCCAACACGTCTGCTAAATACCGCCAGGTCCTCGCGCGCAGCAGCAGCAAGACAGGTGAGCCCCTGCTGTCCCGGAGCAGGGCAGGCAGGCGAGCAGGGGACAACATGCGGGGGAAGCACCAGGTAGCAGCACACCCAGGAGCACAGCGCCGAGTGAGAGAGGGCCATGGGTCCCTTGCCTGGGCGTGCGTTCAGGGCAGGCCTCCCTGGGATGTTGTCATTTCAGCCGAGACCGGAATGACACGCTGAGATCAGGAAGACTGGTGTTCCGAAGAGAGGGACCAGCCAGGGCATAGAACCCAGATAGGCAGGCTGCGCTAAGCACTCTGCTAAACACGGGCACGTAATACAAATATGTCAACAGTGGCTCGTTTGCTTAATGACATAAAACCCTGAACATAAAACCTTGAAATATCACTCGTAGGCTGCAGCAAGGGGCCAGGGACACAACGGCCACCCGAAATGTGGATGCAGAAAGGCACTGCAGTGCCGGTGCAGGGCAGCCAGGCTCAACTGCAGCTGGCCCAGGACAGTGACATCTGGGGCGAGTCACAGAGACTCAGAGTCGAGGCTATGCAGAGAAGGTCATGTGGAGCTCAAAGGTGGTTGTGCCACTTGTCCAGTACAAGCAAGAGCACCAGAGGTCCCCAGGGGAAGCAACACAGTGGGACTGTGGTACCCAATCCCCGGACCGTGGACTGGTGCTGGTCGATGGCCTGTTAGGATTCCACTGGGCCACACAGCAGGAGGTGAGTGGCAGGCGAGAGCGAAGCTTCACCTGTATTTACAGCCGATCCCCATCACTCGCATCACTGTGTAAGCTCCGCCTCCTGTCAGATCCGCGGTGGCATTAGATTCTCACAGGAGCGTGAACCCTACTGTAAACTGCACGTGCGAGGGATCTAGGTTGTGCTCCTTATGAGAATCTAATGCCTGATGATCCGAGGTGGAGCTGAGGCGGTGACGCTAGCGCTGGGGAGCGGCTGCAAATACAGATTATCGTTAGCAGAGAGGTTTGACTGCACAATAAATGTAAAGCACTCAAATCATCCTGAAACCATCGCCACTCCCCAGCTGTGGAAAACCTGTCTCCCATGAAATCAGTCCCCGATGCCAAAAAGGTTGGGGAGCCCTGCAGCAGGACACTGCTACATAGAAGCAAACCCAGTCCCAGCCAAGCACAATGGGGAAGGAACAGAAGCATGTCCTAAATGAGACAGTTAACAGGAACAGCGCAGCAGAGTGGAGGCAGCAGTCCGGCCACCACCCAAGCCCCTGACACATCTTGGCTCGATCTGCCCTCACCCCACCCTGGAGGGAGGCACTCCTGGGGTGCCCCTTTACATCTGGGAACCTGAGGCATGTGGCCAAGGCCACGGAGCTAGCCAGAGGCTGAGCTGGGACTCAACCTCAGCAGGAGGGACACAGACCTCCTGGTTCTGTGGCCGTCACGAGGAACCACAGCCTCTCAGGGCCTGAGGACTTGGCGTGTGTGCGGGGGGTGGGGCGGTCATATAATGTGACTTTATAAGGAACCATGGTGGCCAAAGATCATTCCTTGCAGCCTTCTGCAAATGCCTGCCGTGCGCTGGGAACTCTCCTGTCCAGCGACGCAGAGGGCTCTGGGGGCACACGCACACACAGAACACGTACACAGGGAATAAGCGGTCAGGGGTGCGTGGGGAGGAGCAGGGTGAGTACACGGGGAGGGGAGGTCGGCAAGTACACTGGGTGGGGAGGTCAGTGAGCACACAGGGAGGGGAGGTCGGCGAGTACACCGGGTGGGGAGGTTGCAGAGTACACGGGGAGGGGAGGTCGGTGAGTACACGGGGAGGAGCAGGGTGAGTACACTGGGAGGGAAGGTTGGTGAGTACACGGGGAGGGGAGGTCGGCGAGTACACCGGGAGGGGAGGTCGGTGAGTACACGGGGAGGGGAGGTCGGAGAGTACACGGGGAGGGGAGGTCGTGGAGTACACCGGGAGGGGAGGTGCGTGAGTACACGGGGAGGGGAGGTCGGTGAGTACACGAGGGGAGGTCGGTGAGTACACGGGGAGGGGAGGTCGTGGAGTACACCGGGAGGGGAGGTCGGTGAGTACACGGGGAGGGGAGGTCATGGAGTACACGGGGAGGGGAGGTCGGTGAGTACACGGGGAGGGGAGGTCGGCGAGTACACGGGGAGGGGAGGTCATGGAGTACACCGGGAGGGAGGGCGGGGTCGGTGAGTACACGGGGAGGGAGGTCGGTGAGTACACGGGGAGGGGAGGTCGGTGAGTACACGGGGAGGGGAGGTCAGAGAGTACACCGGGAGGGGAGGTCCGTGAGTACATGAGGAGGGGCACAGGCACAATCCTGTCGACAAGTACGCAGGTAAATATCTTGATGTGAGGTGGGGGACTGGAAGGGCTCTGCAGGAGGGACCTGATGCGTGCAGGCGGAGCCACCCGAGACAGGTGTGGCGGGGCAGAGTGGTGGAGGAGGGAAGTGACCTACCTGGTGACACGAGACGAAACCAGAGTCTACGTGCCACAGTGAAGACTCTGGGTCTCTGAGCAGACAGGAAGGTTTGAACAAAGGATGAGGAGGCCTATGCCCTGACTGTGTGACTTGGGGGCACAGGGGAGCCGGGGCAGCTGCGGCCATGGTCAGGGCAGGGCCGTGGGCTCTGGCAAAGCAGGAGTGTGGGTGGAGCCCAGGGCCTGCAGACAGACCGGGGCAGGGTGGAGGTCAGGGATGGGTTGGAGGTTCTCCGCGAGAGCCTGGGAGAGCAGAGCCGCAGGTCCCGAGTGGCAGCAGACAGGGGAGGAGCCGCCTCTGTGGCCTGAGAGGGGAGAGGGAGGTGGGACATTTAGGTTTGAGATGCTCCTCAGACGGCCATGCGGAAAGTCCAAGCAAGGGAGTCTAAGCTAGAAAGACAAACCTGGGTGTCAGCAGAGTATGGTTAGCATGTACAGAGGGTTGAACTGTGTCCTCCAAAAAGATAGTCCAGGCCCTAACTCCCAGTACCTGTGAACGGGACCTTATTTAGAAACAGAGTCTTCACAGACGGAATTATGTTACGATCTCGAGATGAGACCACCCCAGATTTCAGATCCCCGTGACTCGACCTTACAAGAGACGGGGGAGGAAGACTTGAGGTACACAGAGGGGAGCACCATGTGAAGATGAGTCTGCAAGCCGCAGAAGGCCAAGGATCGCTGGGGCTGCCAGAAGCTGGAAGAGGCAGGAAGGACCCTCCTCTGAAGCCTTCGGAGGGAGCGCAGCCCTGCTGACACGTGGATCTCAGATTCCTGGCCTCCAGACCATGAGAGAATGAATGTCTGTGTTTAATCTGCCCAGTGTGTGTTAATTTGTCCCAGCAGCCCTAGCAAATGAACACAGTGTGTAAAGCCCTAAGCTGGGTGAGGCCACCCAGGAAGAGACAGGAGGCATTGGGCCACGAGTGGAACCACATGGAGGCCCTGAAACCTCGTGGAGGAGGGAGGCCAGGAGGCGGGAGTGCCGGCCACGTGAAGGATGGCTGAGGGCCAGGCATGGCCGGTGGGGGTCAGGAGAGCCTGCAGGGGAAGGGCCGTGAGTGACCGAGCAGTCCCAGTGCCAGTGCCGGGGTGATCCTATGGACACGACACAACAGCCACTCGTAGCAGCAAAGGCTGGAAACCACTTTCGACAGAAGCCTGGTACACCGGCTACTGGCCACGCAGGAAATAGAGTGTGTGCAATTAGAAAATGTGAAGAAACTCTTCACGAACTGTAGAATCATCATCGAACTTGTCCTCTTTTCCCCGACACCCCACGTATCTGCAAACTTGTCACTGCACATCTCCCAGTGGCCTTGCCTTGATCCAAACCTGGCTCTGCTCCAAAGCCCTGACCTCCAGCTTTGCTTCCACCTGTCGCCCTGACCAGTGCAGTGGCTCCAGCACGGCACCGTCACCCCACACTGTGATAGCCGCAATGGCCTCCTGCTGGTTGTGTGAGCCTCTAGTCCTGCCTTCCTCCAGCAGATCCTCCAAGCTTTCTTTTTTTTCCCCCGGCCAGTGGTATTTCATTTTTTTTTTCTTTGAGACAGAGTCTCGATCTATTGTCCAGGGCCAGAGTGCCATGGCATCAGCCTAGCTCACAGCAACCTCAAACTCATGGGCTCAAGCAATCCTCCTGCCTCAGCCTCCCGAGTAGATGGGACTACAGGCACATGCCACCATGCCTGGCTAATTTTTTCTATATGTTTTTAGTTGTCCATCTAATTTCTCTCTATTTTTTTTCAGGGTCTTGCTCTTGCTCAGGCTGGTCTGGAACTCCTGAGCTCAAAGGATCCACCCGCCTTGGCCTCCTGCAGTGCTAGGATTACAGACATGAGCCACCGCCGGCCCCTCCAAGCTTTCTAAACTGCAAGTCTGACCATGTGACTTGCCTGCCTAAAATCGCCTCTGCCCAACCCCCACCCTCAGGCACCAGCACCCCTCACTGGCCCTTCCCTGCCCTGGGAGTTGTGTGAACAGTCTCCAGATGCCGTGCTCCCTCCCACCCAGGTCCTCCTCAGCCTGGCAGCTCTGCCCACACACCCCCTCCTCTGCAGGCCAGCTCAGGAACTCGCTGCACCACCCACGTCACCCTCTCCAGAGTCTCCAGTGAGTCGCGCTCCCCTAGCGTTGGGGCCTGCACACAGCAGCCTCTGCTCGGCCTGCGGAATTCCCGTTGCTGACGGAGACCGCAGGCTCCTCCTGGAGGGCCAAGAGCCCCGTCTTGCTGCATCACAAC